TATTTTGGGCGTTTTTTGGCCATCCCGGGGCCTTACCCCAGGGACATGGTTACCTGGGAAGAAAATTTGGGTTTAGCCCCAGCCGGGCCCCAGAAAAAAGCCCCCCCCTTAACCGGGGGTTAAATTTTTTCCCGGGTTGGGGGGCCAAGCCAAAAAGCCCCCCCTTTCTTTTATAAACATTTGGGACCCCCCAAAGCTTAAAAAACCCCCCCCCCCCCCCCCCCCCTCCCCCTTGCCCCCTTGGAGGAACACATGCTTTGGGCTTTCACCCCAAGCCTCCCTTAGCATCAGGAGTTAATCTCTAGGACAAACTCAAAACTTACTAAATATGGAATGTCCTTAGATTGTGAATTTGGATATGGGACAAACACTATTGTGTTTAACACAATCTCTACATTCTATAGATATGCCAAATGAGCAAATCTAGACACTTTCATAAATAACATTTGGGACCGAAATGAGACTAACACAAAGAACATGATAGCGAGGGTGTTTGGGAGACACAGTAAGCTATCATCCAACGATATAAAGGAACTAATTTCAATACGCAAGGGTTTTTGTCAAGCGAGTGCAAGATAGAGCAAAAGAGAATTAACAAGCCGGGCCAAGTATATTTGGCTAAATAGACACTTAGGAATTCCTTCCTTACATTCATCTGGCCAAGTACAGATGCAAAGTTTAGTTTACTAACACTTGATCAAAAGGGACTAATAAAGGAGTTTAATAATACCAACTTCCTGCCATCGTGGCAATAAGGAAAAAGTGTCCATAAGGATTGGCCAACAGATAACTTTCGATACTCGAAGTCACATTTGCGACAAATGGGATCCCTTAGATTTCCATACCACTCCATAAATGGAACTAAGTGGGCTTTCCTGTAGCTAGCCATCAGGAAGAATGAGGTCAAAATAGTTCCCGACTCTTCTAGTGCTCACGTCCTTGTACTCGTAAGTGACGCCAACATAAGCGCCATGCTAGGAAGCGATCTATCTGGCTTTGAATTGAAGAGAATCCCAATGTAGGTGCCATGCTTGTTTGAATGTAGGTGGTAATTTATATTCTTATTATATTCATCAAAAATTAAATTATTTATAAGGTGAACGGATTATACTATAAATATTTAGGTATATTTAAAATATACCTTAATCTAGCAGTTTTATGTTTGTAATCAGTGTTTAATACTATATCTTAAATATAGACCAAACCTCTAAAGTTAACTAAAATCTCTCAAAAGGAAAAAAAAATGTATTATTTGATTTTCTTGTAATACAAGACTCCTATCCCTTTGCCCATATTTACATCTTCTTCTTTCCCACTTGTTTTTTTTTATTATAAAATATTAAAACCATGAAATAGTTATATTTGTTTAAGCTGCCACTTAGAGGTTATTAATGTTTGATATGGCCATGAGATAACTCACCATTATTTAAGGAATTCTTTTGATTTTTAAATTGCAAATATTTGAATTTTTGCTTTGTTCCCACCAAGTTGCAAAAGCTATTGGAAGCAATCCAAAAAAATATTATATTCAAACAAGGCTATTGTTCCTAGAATAATCTAATCACACTAGTTGCATAAATTTTTTAACTTATTTGTAAATTGTAAGTAATCAAAAAGAATAACTTACATAAAAGTTCAAATATAAAAGGTAAGAACTCTACTTTTCAATTAGTTAAAAATTTTGGGATATTTAGGGTTAACTATTCTTAGATTTAAATAGTAATAGGTTATATGACTTCTCGGAAATCTAAACTCTATTGATTAGCTAAGGGAATCATACTATATATTTGATTAACCTTTAGGAAAAGAATGGGGCTCTCAAAATAGTGTTACTTAAGAGATGATCAAATATAAACAGGAAAGGGCTTATGAATAAAAATGTGCATTTTTTTCCAATTGGTTAAATATTTTAGAATATTACAATGAAATATAAAAAGAAAGAGTGTATGAATAAAACTGATTAAGGGTATTGGGATATTGAGTCTTGGGATAACCACCTTTACCACTAACTTTGAGATTTTAAGATATGCTACTATCTAATAATTAGATTAGTTTTGTATTCAAACACTTTTTTAGTATATTCTAGTTTATTCTACTATTTAATTTGGATTGGTCAAATAGGTTCAAATAATACTAAACAAAAAATTAACAAAACAGTCTCATAATGAGTTTCTATTATTATCATTAAATATTATTTAATCTAGGTATGTTCTTACAACAATCTTGAGTCCAATATTTTGGGTTGGACTATGAACAGAAACTCTAACATTCATTTTTATTCAATCCTGCAAAAGCCTTTATGAAGCAAGAGAGATTTACTGGCTTCCATATTTGCCAAACATCTGGATGAGTTTGTTGCTGAGGAAGGAATCATCAGCAAGTGGATGATTCCTTTTAAGATCCACCAAATCTTCTCCTTTTCGTGGGCTTTCATGTTTCAAGCTTACGCCCAAAACTCCCATCTTAAACATGCAAAAGAGATCTTCGACAAACTGCCGCAAAAGGATGTCTTTGCATGGACATCCAGGCTCTTGGCATATGCCCGAACTGGGCATGTTCTCAATGCCCAAAAAACATTTGATGAGATGCCGCAACACAGCCTTCTCTCATGGAATGCAATCCTGTCAGTCCACGCACCAGCTGGGATCTAAAATATGCCGAAAGGATTATCTCCGGGGTGCCCGAGTATGATCTCGTGTCTTGGAATTCCATTCTAACGGCATACGCCCGGAAAGGGCATGAACGGGAAAAACGTGTTTTCGATTCAATGGAGGCTCGTGACCTTGTGTCATGGACGACAATCTTGGTTGCCTTGTCGCAGGGCGGAGATTTGCACGGAGCAAAGCTTTTGTTTGATGCAATGCCGCAGCACGATCTCGTCGCCTGGACCGCGATGCTTGGCGCGTACGCACTGAACGAGGATGTCGATTCGACACAGAGGATTTTCCGCGAGATGCCTGAGATAGATCTCGTTTCGTGCAACACCGTGATGCCATGCTGCGTGATGCTAGACAATCAAAGCTTATATTTGACTCCATGCCGCAGAGAGCTCTCTCGTCGTGGACAACAATGCTCGCTGTTCTTGCCAAGAACAGCCCCGGGGAGGAAACCAAGAGCTTTTTCTATCAAATTCCGGAGCTTGATCTTACTTCCTGTACGATAATGCTGCTCTGACAACCCTCAGACTTGGAGCCTGTGAAGGCCACCTTTGATCAAATGCCGCAGCGAGACCTGTGCTCTTGGAACTCTGTTCTTTCGGTGTATGCCCAATCAGGGCATTGTGACTTTGCTTTAAGTCTCTTTAACGAGATGCCCGAAATGGATATGGTTTCGTGGAACAATATGTTAAATGCGTTTGTTCTAACTAGAAAACTACGTGAAGCTGCTTTACTCTTTCATAGCATGCTAGAACGCAACGTTGTGACCTGGGATGCTTTAATATCTGCATTTTCCCGAGAAGGCCATATTGTATACGCAAGGAAACTTTTTGATACAGCCCCTGACAGAGACCAAATCTTGTGGAGCTCCATGATAGCTTCATATGCACAAGTAAGCACCACTGCCAGCAAGGCCTTTCATCTCTTCAACGAAATGCAGGCCGTCGATTCCCCAAACACATCGTGCTTCGCATCCATCCTGGCCGCAAACAGCCACAAAGGCAGCTTTCAAGCGGGAAAGAGCTTCTTCGCTTCCATGGTTGTGGATCACGCCATTGAGCCCACAAGGCAGCACTACAGTTGCATGGTAGATCTCTTGAGCCGAGCCGGCCACCTTCACGACGCCAAAGATCTAATCTTAAGCATGCCGTTCGTTCCCAGTGCTCTCGAGTGGACGTGCCTTCTCGGAGCATGCAAGAGCCACGAGGATTATAACAATCTTAGACTGGGAGACGATGTAGTGAGATCTGTAATGGACGTAACCGACGCAACTCCCAAGACACCCTATGCTTTACTAGCAAACGTCTACACAAGCTCCCAAACAAAAAATCCACACTATATGTAAAATCTAAGGACTTACTCTCTCCTGTACACATGAAGTCATTTTAATCACCTCCGCCACAGCCCCCACCACCACAGCCTCCTCCACCGTGGCCTCCACCATGACCACCACCAGAGCCTCCACTGTGGCCTCCACCATGGTGGCCACCACTAAACATTGCTCCCGCGAAATCGGAGCGTCTTCTTGGCTTTCGCCTTTTTGGAGATGCAAAGAAACTGAAACACATTTTGGATTGATTGCTTGCATGCAAGGGGGCATAATCTTCTGCTTATACACAGGCTAGAAGGCAATTTGAGACTTTGACTCAGTGGAAGCCACGAAGAAAGCAATGATAGCGCGTGGACCTGGAGAAGTTTATGCAATCAGTGCCACGTCGTGACACTTCATCAGAGTGTTCAAGAAACGCAAGATGTGCATTTGTCTATCCAACCTTTAAGGAATACGTGCATAAAATCTCGTTAAATTGCGCGTGAAGGAAGTTGTTTTGCTTGCTTCATATGGTCAGGCCTTGTGGCCAATCAGATGTTCTCCTGCCTAGTATATAAGCGCAAGCCTCCTCGCATCGATCATACCTTTATCTTGCGCAATCCAAGATGTGTTTCGGTTTCTCTCAATCCTCTAACAGGCAAAAGCAGAGGCGAAGGCGCCCGTCTGCAGCAACGGGCGCCTTCATGGGGGCTGCCGGCAGTGGTGGCGGAGCTTGTGCTGGCACTGGCGGCGGAGGAGGCTGTGGTGGCGGTGGTGGTGGTGGTGGTGGTGGCTGCAGAGGAGGCGGTGGTGGTGGCTGCGGAGGAGGCGGTGGTGGTGGCTGCGGAGGAGGCGGTGGTGGAGGCGGTGGAGGCTGCTAAATACTCTGTATGAGAAATAGCCATGCATATGAATGTTTGTAAATATGTGGTTTTCCAAAACTCGTACAATTTGTTTGTATTGAACTTGTTTGTTTTTCTTACAGCCAAGGATTGAGCTGGCCACGATCTTAGCACTGTTTTGGAACTAGTAAGTAGAATCTCGTAGAATCTATTCAGCAATTCTATGTACTTCAGGTACTATAGTGATTCAAGTAAAATCCAAAAAAAAGGGAAACATCCACTTACAATACAACGTTTTGAGCGCTCTTCTCTTGTCTTCTCTCGAGTAAAAGCTTTGATTCTTCTAGCTCTCTCTCGCCTCCTGTTTTCTTACGATTCGCGTCGGGTTCTCCTTTGGCGGGCGCCCTCGCCTTCCTTCTCAATCTCGTTGCCAGCCGCGTCGTCCTCCGCCTTGTCCTTGGAATCGTCCGGGCTGGAGATGTCTTCCTTCTTGGACTTCTCTACAGTCACCTACGCAAGACAAACGACCATGACAGTCCAAAACTCGCGCAGGGTATTGCTAATTGTACCTTCGTCTTCTTGGGGGGCGATTTCTTGCCACCAAATAGAATCTTAAACAGCGTGACCACCACGACGAGCGGGATCACAGCTATGGCGCTCAAAGAAATGGTTGGGAACTTCTCGGCCTTCTCCAGAAGATCCTGTCACAACGAAAAGAAAAAGTTAGAAGACGAGACAAAGTTCATGCTCGTGTGTTTTACTTACAAGAATCTTTTCCTTCTGTGACGCCAAAGCCGGGATGTCGGCAACCTTGCGCAGGTACTCAAACATCTTTGCCTGAAAAGATTCAAGGTCGTCACACACACACACACACACACACAAAAAAAAGACAGACAAAAGAAGATAAAGGAAAAGTACCTGGATGCCGTCAGGACTCGGAGTCGCTTCTTCAATTTTTTGCTTCTCCTTCTCAGCCTCGTACTTGGGCTTCCATTTCGTCTCCCTGTACTCTGCTGCCACAGCCTCGTCGGTCGCCACCAGGATGTTGTCAAAAAGAATGCCGTCCTGCATCGTC